GTATTAATATCTCCTTAGTACTATACAAAAGTTTAAGATTTAGAGTGATCACCTTAATCTCTAGTACTTCTGAGTGCCTCAGAAGCTCAACCACCACCAAGCCTGCTGGATGTTAGAACTGTAGGACTTTGACTTTGTACTGACCCACAAACTCAGAACACAAATGACAAAAGCTGATTTACTCTTAAGACAAGTAGGTCATGAAAGGAGGGAGAATAATAACAAAAATCTTGTCCTCCTAGACAATTTCTGTTTCATGTCTGAGACAATCCAAGAGATCTGACTCAAATCTGAGGATGTTAACTTTGTCACCCACATACAGTAAGCTCTAAGACACACACAGGACCAGGTTGTAGTAAAGCAGTTAGAGAAGCAGGCTAGGGATTAGGAGGAGGATAAGAATGGACAGGTTTACTAGGAAGGCTGACTGTACATTCTAAAGGATTGAAAGCTGTAGGAGGACATTGTTCAAGCTCATTACAACAATCTAACTGTAGAACATTCAGGCTGACACAAAATACAGAAACTCATTACTTAGAACTACTAGTGGCTAGGAATACAGAGGGAAATCCTGAAGTACATGACTGGTTGTAATACATGCTAACAGACTAAAGCCTACCAGACAAGGGTTCAGACTCCCTTACATCTGTATTGGATCCTGGATTACTCTTAGGAAGAAGTCTCAGTAGACCTGATCAGTAAACTACCTAAGTCTTAGGGTTACAACACTATCTGTGTAATTGTTGACTGATTCTCTAAACAAGTCTACACAGTTCTGACCCAAACAGAACTCACTTCTGAAAGCATGGTGTGTATTTATTAGAATCATGTCTTCCAGTTGTACAGACTCCCTTAGAAGCTTATTCACAATTGCAGACTACAATTTGAGTCAAAATTCATACAGAACTTGTATACACTTCTCAGAATTCAAGGGAACCCTTCTACTGTATATCACCTGCAGACTGACAGTCAAACTGAGTGAGTCAATCAAGAGATCAAACTCTACCTTCAGATGTTCATCAATCATCAGTAATCAGATTAGTCTGAATGGTTAGCTCTGACAGAATTTGTACACAATAACTAGTAACACTCTATAACAGGACAATCCCTGTTCTTTCTCAATCATGAGAGACATCTGTACTAGGGGACAGTTCTGAACCAGAACAACAGTTCTGAATCTGTAACAGACTTTACAGAACAGATGTGTAGAACTAGGGAGGACACACAAGCTCTTTTAGAGAAGGTAGTACAGGTTATAAAGTAGAACTATGATTAGAAGAGGTCTGTAGCCAAGGATTACTAGTCTAGTGACAAGGTTATGCTAGAAGCCACTAATCTGACCTTAGATTGTCTAATGAAGAAGTTGGACAACAAGCACTTCAGACCCTTCATCATTAAAAAGAAGGTTAGTGCCTCTGTCTACAAACTCCAACTTCTGACAACATAGAAGTGTATACACCTAGTATTTAATAAGGTTCTATTGTCTTGATACTATGATCCTAATTTTCCTTCACAACAAAGACCCCCTCTGCCTCCACCAGAACTTATTAGCTCTGAACCAGAATACAAAGTAGAGTACATAGTAGATGCTAAGCTACTGTACAGAAAACTCAAATTCCTTGTTTACTAGAAAGGGTACCCAGTTGAGGAGCACACTTGAGAACCTACTAAGAACCTTACCTATACTCCTAAGACAATCCAAGACTTCTATCAGCTTTATCCTGGTACTCTGTACAAACTCAGCCTTACAGATTGCCAAGCCTTACTATTCTAACCTATGCCTGAGCTACTAACCAAGCCCTATGTTTACCAATCAGGACAATTAGTTTTAGAGGGAGAGTAATGTTACAATTCTCTACTCTCATACCTTCAGTTCTAAGGGTTCTACACCCTTCTGTACTAGAACTCAGGACTTCTGTCCCTTAGGGGCACTATCTATAGACTATATGTGTACTGACTCTTACTACTACCCTTCCTTACTTCATCATTCCATTCCTTTGACCACCCCTTTCTTTCTTTGTTCATTCTATAGTCTCTTACCCTTTGTCCATCCCTTCATTCTTTGTACCTTTATCTTTAACCTCCCCTTTCTTTCATTCTTCATAGCTTATCATTCTTAGTGGCTCATACTCCCTGAGTACTCTTGTATAGTTTAGTATATATAGGTGTATAAGATCAGACTAGTCCTATAGTCTTGATCTTGTCTACTCTAAGTAGTCCTGTACTCTTAGGCTCACTCTATATACTCTACTCATGTCTCACTCTCTCTCTCTGCCTGTTCTGCAAGTTCTGACTATGTTCTAGTACTTGCATTCTGTATTTCTGTTGTGTAGGATAGTTGTAGCCTGAGTCCCCTTACTGAGCCTTCAGGTCCCCTCTACACTGTTGCTAACATTGACTAAACATTCTAAAAGGAACCTTTAAAGACTTTAACACTTTGCTTAGACAAAATAGCCCCTAAATTTAGTTGTTCAGGACATACAACCTAAGGAGGGAGGTGATGTTAGGATTACAGGAGTGGACCTATTTCATTTTCTTCATATTTCTATCAGTTTTGCAAAACACCAACATTACTACTAGATTTTTATAATCCTTAACATCTTATCTATTGTTCTACAAAGTTTCATGAAGATTGTATCAGTATTGAGCACAGGAGAGAGCTACAGAGACACAAGGTAGTATATACAATCACAACACAGCTAATTCATTTCTTGCCCAATATAGTAACTTGTGCCTCTTTTGTACAATAGCCTCTTAACCTATATTTCTTAATGTGTAACACTCTGTTAATTCTTCCTGGCCTCTAATGTGCCTGTTGGCTTTACAATATTTGTTCTTATTATTTCTTTTATCTTATTCTCAAGTTTTATTTCTTACTTTACTCTTGTTATCAAGTTATTATAAAAAGCAATCTGTAAATACAGTAGTTCCTTAGTTTTTTGACTCTTCTCATATTCCTACTTGTTCTCCTAGCATAAATCCTAGCCAGTAGCTTTGGGAATATAGTTGGTTTAAGGGCTGCAGGTTACATTCACAGTTTGAGAGTACTATTAATCTAGAGAACACTTCTCTCCTAACAACATACTCTTTTACTATAAACAATATAGATATGTTTATAGTATGTGTTATTGTTGTTTGAACATTGTATTGTTCAGAAAGCACCTTCATAAGACTTCTGACACTTGTATACATTGTGAAGTTTGTATAAATTGTATTAGTTATTGTTTTTGTTATACAATAATACAAAACATTGCCTGTACATATGCTAGCATTATTAGAAAACAGGGGATTGTGCTCAAGATGGTCTGAGAGCATTATAGTAGCAAGTATACTGTGTATGTGTAAGCACCATATCTTGTATCCCTTTACACTAGCCAACTTTTCTGTTCCCTTAAAGAACTTTGTAATGTTAGAGTCCTTCATTATAGTGTTAACAAAGGTATGTATTATAAACAACATTGTAATAGGTTTGGGGGGAGAGGGAGGTCTAGGGCTTGGTGTGCTAGTAGGAGGCAAAGGCATTCTGTAAGAGTGAGTATGTAGAGGCATTCAATAAGCACTAAGGCTTATAACCTTTTAACAAGTATAGTAGGAGTGCTCTCAAACTCTCTCTTATTAAGACATTAAGCAAGTGTCTGCCTTATATACTATATAGTAAAGTCTAATAGTCTGAGACATTCTAAGCACAGTAACTCTACATAAGGCAATTGGGGATTTCCTAATCCAGAGCACAATCTAATATAAAATTTGTTAATTAAAACATGGTGCTCTACAGACATACATATGTGTATATAAACTAATTACTAAAGAGGATAGACTCTAATATTACTGAAATCATACTGATTTTAATAATTGACTTTTCTAAAGATGTGAGAGGCATTGAGGGCAACACAATGGCAATGGTTTGGATGGAGGATAGGACAAGTAAGAGAAGAGACAAAAGAATGTTGTAGCAAGTACAGCTCAACATCTTTGTCAGGTTACTCTTGAAATGTTCTGTACAAGAGTATAATTTGGAGGATATCATTTGATGCTAATATACAATCAGTCTATCATGTACAGACTGGCCTTCTAATGTCCTACTCAGTTACAGGTGATAGGTATCTATGACACTCTTTCAGTAGTATACCTGTTAAAAGAAGCTTCCTATTATATCTCTTAACATTGTTACTGTATAAGCTACCTTGACAAACTGTTCAACAAGTTTCTTTGAAACAACCAAGATATTGCCAAAGACACTGATTCTGCTCAACCTGCAGAACCTTAAAAAAAACACCCAAGTAAAGACCATGGTATGGTATGGTATGGTATAGTATATTTCCTAGTATAGGTCCCTAAAAAGAAACACTAGGGCTGCTAGTCTATTGTACAAATACAGGGTAATTTATCTATAATAAAGAAACCACCCTGTCTAGCAATGTGCAGGGAACTACTAATGCAATAGACACTCAATGCTTCTCCAACTGTGTACCAGAAATGAGACAAAAAGTATATAAGCTTTGAGAGATAAGGGAACATAGGGTACACAGGAGAAGATACTATTTTCACAGTAGAAATCCATCATGAACAGTACAGAGAGATTATAAATGGAAATTACTAATAGAGTTAGCTGTGACCTTAGCAAAGAAAGGAGGCAGAAAAGTAAAAGAAGATTGACAAGCAAGAATAGGGGTTGTAAGCAATTGCAACACCTTTATTTTGAGTAACTCATTTTGTGTTTTCTTTTATATATTTGATAGTATGCTACACTAGTAGTATTATAGAAGTATATTGAGTAATTTTTAGTCTTTTATTAATGACATAGATATAGTAGCAATTTATTGGTATTTTTTGAATAATTTTCGTGATGGTGGTTCGTGGGAGAGTCCATGTATTTACCATATTCGAATGAATGGCATGAAACAAGAGTTGTTACAACTACCAAAGTAGGCAATGTGCAATAGCCGGGCACTTAAGAACAAAAGATGATGAAACAAAAAAGAAATAATAGTAAAGAAAAGAGGGACAGGACGATAAGACAGATTGAAACGCTAAGAGGGGATAGTTCTGTAACATACCGAGAAATTTAGAGAAAATCAAGATAAGTATTATTAAGTAACAAACAGGCGGGCGGAAAAGGAATCAAGAATAAAGACAGAAGCAGAGGTAGAAACGTTTGTGGCACCCTTCCTTTGGTGGAATTAGAAACTGAAACAGTGGTGAAATAAGGATGTGAAAGCAAGGCGATACACGGTATCCAGGGCAGGGTATAAGAGCAAGAACCAACCAATGAATAACCCCGAGAAGGGAAGTGGACGCAAGAAGAAATTGTAATCAACATGCGATACAAATGATCAACCGAAACCCACCATACGTGATAAGAGATAAAGGATAACAGAGAGAAGAATTGGCTACGAATGACTAAACGGATAATTTTCATTCCTCTTCCTCCTCCAAAACGTTATGTAACGGTGCCCCATGCACATAGCGCATTGGGCTTGAGCGGCCTACTTCTCCTGCAAGGTACGGCTGTGTGGGCTCCAGACCTTCAATATCTTCGTCGTTGTCATCGTCCAGTTCGGGAGAGGGTTCGCGAACTGGAGCTGGGGGTTGCGGAGGTGTAGGTAGAGCGCGAATTGGTTTAGGAGTAGGTTTCTCCTTTTCATCTTGGGGGAGCGAGGATGAACGCACAGGAAGTCGCGAAGGTTTCTGTATTTGAAGAGGTGGTGTAGTAGGAATGTTCTGCATGGGAGGTGATGAAGCTGTTTGCCGTTCTCGTTCGCGGTACATCTCGATAAGGCTGGCAGTCTTACTCTGCGTGGCGGGTGACGGAGCTGCGGTTGTGCCTCGGACGCTAGTCGAAGCCGGTAGAGTCATTGACTCAGTCTTAGATTGTTCGTAATCGCGACGTACGGGACTGGAATCCACAAATGCCGGCACTTCTATGTCACCATCCACCTGGCGCTCGCCATCTCCAATAGAGCTCGTAGGCTCAAAGTCGCCTTCGCTGTAGATGGAATCACCATACCCAGACGTGCTCGAGCGTCCAGGATCTTCCGGCCTCGCGGGCCTTCTGTCTGGATGTAAGTCAAAATATCCAACGCGCTTCTTTGGTAATGCCTGTAAGACGTCTTCGTCTTCGTCTTCAGCGCCCGCCGCAGAGTAACCATGCCCGTTACCATTTTCGTTTCCGCGCCCTATTGCCTGAGAGTGGTCATGATCCTCGTCGTCTGTTGACGGCGACATTTGGCGCACTCCTGCTAAAGCCTGCGCGACTTCTTTGCTCGCAAGCTCAGGATCTGATCGGCCAGCCCCCGAGTTAGCCGCACTGCTTACGCCTAGGGCTCTCGAAGTGCCAACACCACGCGGACGCATCTCCGCATCCTGATCCGACATACGTTTACCACCGCTAGCGACTAAAATGTCAACCCAAGCGTCATCTTTACTCATTCGCTTTTCTTTTGTAGTCTTTGAACGCGATCCAGCGGGACCAGCTTTGTTACCCTCCGCACTGCTGCGTCCGTTCAACTCCTCGTCACTGTAGCTAGCGAGCCTCGTGTCGAAGTCGACAGTTTCGTATTCAGACGGGATAATGCCACGATTATCACGATTAGCGCCGGGGAAGCGGAACCGAGCCTTACGAAGTGAAGCAGGTGAAAATGGCGAAATTGTACGAGACTGGACGGGTGACTCCATCGAAGACTTTGACGGTGGTTGCGGTGCGTGTGATGAAGATGTGATGGGCGTAGCGGGAGTTGATCCGGCAGCATGTTGAGGGCTTGACATTGAACGTTTTGGGTCTGGTACGGGAGTCTCAACGCGCAAGCCGGCAGAATGACCAACAGTGGCAGAGCTGCCCAGAGATAACACTTTCGTCATGCTTGTGCTTCCTCCAGCCAACAGTCGCTCGAACTCTGCCTCTCGTGCATTCGGACTCCTTGGGACAGTTCCGATCGCGTATGGTCTTCCATTGAGGGTAGCAGCTTGTTTCCATTGCTTTCCTGTGCCCTTCTTTGGTGAAAGGAGAGATGTGATACCAAATCGAATGCGAATGTTAGGTTTGTTTCCTTGCCGAAGGAGTGATTCGCGATACTCTGCCGGAACAAATTCCTCAAAAAGTAATAGTGTAGAGGCCGTTCGTGGATCAGGGGGAGCACTGGGGTCCGTCGACGAGCTGAGTGACAGTGACGGTGATGTTGCCGAAGGTTCCGAGTGCGAAGTTGGAAGGGATCTGAACTCGACCTGTGTGATGCATTAGCCAGAACTAACTCCGCAACAGCGACATACACACCAGTGCCCAATTGCATTCTCTGAAAGTTGTCTCTGACCGGTCCATCCAACCGCCACCATAGAGGAGATCACAAAATACATCCAAGAAGCCTTCCTCTATGACATCTTCTCGGCCGTCCATGATTGGAGCAGTGTCCCAGCCAAATGGCGGAAGCGCTTTTTGAACATTCTTCTTAAGCTTACGGTGCATCTCCTTTTCTTGAGCAGGCCATTGCTGAACAGTTTGGGCCAGCGGAGGTGAGAACTGGAGCGTCTGGCTGAGGCTCGCATCACTCCGGGTAAATCCGGCAGCACTGAAGTCATTCCAGCTGAGTGTCTGCCGTTTCGCGGCACGGGCATTCCGGGCACCTTCTGTAAGATCAAACTGAAGCGCAGAAGGCGCCGCAGCGCCGTCCCCAAATCCGAGCATGGAGAATTCACCCCATTTCATATCAGTCAAGCTGCGAAACTTGGCCTCTTCGGCAGGGTCATCAAACAATGACGAACGTGTGCTCGCAGTCGAACTGGCCGAGGAAAGAGCGGGCGTCGAGACTGGGGAAGCAGGTTGGGTAGCGATCAAAGACGTAGATGGATGGAATCCGGGAGGCAGATCTAGCTTCTTCCTGAATGCGTCCGAGTAACGTGGCTCTAGTCGGGAGCCGTCTCGCTTTTCCGGCGCAATACGTCCCCACTCCTTGCTTGAACGCACAGCCGTACCCTCTGCACCTTTCGGCCATGCTGCGCATGTCCTAAGCAAGTCCTCCGAATAAAGCCGTACATTTCGACGCACGCTCGCAACTCGACGCGTCTTTGCGCCCAGTCTCGGTCTTTCAAACGAATCAATTGGTGCGAGAGTGGCAGGATATCCCTTCACCCAGGAAATGAGCCTGCGCGGTGGTGGAGCACTGGGAGGCGCCTGAGAAATCTGCAACCGTACATATGCAAGTAAGAGATGCTCTGTTGCGTGGGCAGAGCGAAGGTAAGCGGTATATGTTGCGTGGAAACTTGTTGTTGGGAGGCCGAATAGCAGAGGTCCGAATAAGCTTGCAAGAGTCGGTGGTATGAGCCCCGAGCTCGTAGAGTTCGCGAGAAGTCGAGAAAGGAAAGAAAAGAGTGTCAGGACCAGCTCGCGCAGCTGTGGCTGCAGCAGGCCGACAAAGCTTGTGAATTCCGTTTTGCTAAAGTTCCCCGAATGTTCGACGTGCCGCCAGCGAAGATACACTTCCCAGTCGATGAGCCCGTGGTTTTCTACGCCGTTTACGATGCGTACTGGACGAGCGAGGCCCCAGCGAAGGAAGGAAGCGAGCGCGTGAGGATTGGCGAAGCGTGCCTCGTCGCGCAAATCTGGGGAGCGAAGGAAAGCTGTGATGAGCCGCCGAACGGACGGCGCGTCAAGATCAAGGGCCATATTAGAGAAGAGGAAGGGGGTTGTGAGACCACGCTGGATGAGCTCATCAGATACGACCTCGACGAGACGCTGGAGATCCTCCGGAGAAAGGACGACGTGAGCCTCATGAGCCAAATAACCATAGTCTCGTTCGGACGTCTCGTTCTGTGGATTGCTCAGGCATGTTGGGAGGAAACCATCCTCGACGTCTGTCTGGAGCTCAAAGTCAGCAGCACTGGTGGCTGTAGCGCGTTTTGGTTGCGAGAGAGTCTGCGCGCGCTTGTCCTTGGATGGGAGTGGGGGCGCACCACGACTATTTACGCGACCAAACTCGTCGATGCCAGCGTCGATGTTCGGTTTGTTGACAGTCTTTGTGGACGTTGTCCGTGCGCGGGTGAATATGCTGGGCATGAACACTGTCGAGGAGGAGGAGGAGGAGGAGGAGGAGGAGGAAGAGATGCAGTCAGTCAGTCAGTCAGTCAAGCGGGAGGCCGACGAGAGCTGAGTTTCTTTCTGCTTATCAATCACCCGTATCAGGCAACTCTATCTGCATTCATTATGTCATCAATCTCGCTTCACCTCTTCCATGATATGATACTGTTATCGTACTGCAATGACAGTCCATCATACATGTCACTTTGCTCTCGTCCCCCGCCGGCCGCATTCGACACTGTCCAGCTAACGTTGCCTGTACGCCAAGCTCCTCACACAACGACGGTCTCCTTCGGAAGCATACCGGGCATAATACTTTGCAATTGTCCTTTCAAGCACAAGGCTCATTCTGCAAACGGCGTTGCTATGTCCACCCTTTTGCTCTCTTCGCTTGCCAACCGTTGTTCCTCGCTTGTTCTCAGCATGGTCCTCCACTCATTTTTATTGATGCAGACGCTCTCACAAGCTCCGTACCTCAGAACGTCCTGATTTCCGGATTTTCTTCCTCGGCATCAATTCTTCTCTGTCCTCGAAGCACACCATCAATTCATGGATTTGCGGGCAAATCGTTCGTTGCTATCTTCTGTTTATTGCATTTCGGATCTGCTACTCACTGATTAGCAATGTCTTCATTCGGCCCTCAGTCCCTTCAAGTAGACTTTGCACCACACATACAGACCTGTAGCAAAGGTACTGTCATTCACCAGTTCTTGAACCAGCACATTTTGTCTTTCAATTTATACAACAAGTAAATTTTTTTACAAAAAAATATTGCTATAATTAAATATATTTACTCAAGTATAAACTACAAAAATTTTAAGTAAAAAAAAATAAGAAATGAAGGAGAAATTAAGTATACATTTTATAGCTCAAAAGTAGGTCCTACTGCTCCTTGAACTACTATTTTCCCACAGTATTTGTTACCCCTCCTTAGAGCTATTCTACTCATCCTTACTAATATTTTTAATAGTAAATATTTAGTATTAACACTTATGATTATAATTATAATTAAAATAATGTATGTTGTATAGTATTAATTAATAGTTTACTAAGCTTGAGAGTTGTTATTAATATTACAGCTTATATTATGTAACTGTAAAGGCTGGAGCCTTACTCAAGAACACAGAACAGGCAAAGACCTGGGATTGATGAGAGGTTGACCTAAGTACAGGAGCAAGTATGAAGATAATCTCTAAGTGTCTACAAATAGCCCTTTATATACTTAACTAAAGTTATGTGTGTAACCTTAGAGGTTACACTCTTCCCTACTCTGAAGAAATAAAAGGAGGGGGTAGGGAAGTAATTAATAGAGAGGTAAAGGAAAGGATATAGTAAAGGGAGGGGGAGGTAAAATGGAAGATTATAGTAAGGGGGGGGGAGGGGAAATACAAAAGGGTAAGGACAGAAGACAAGGAACACACAGTCATAAGTTTAAGAAGGCTTCAACTTATTAATGAAAACACACAGAGACAAGGATAGGGATAAGGAGTACATAATAGTTGAGATGTGAAACCACACTGCCAGGAATGTATGAATGATACTCAACAGGTCTAGTAAGTAGTAAGTATAGTATTTGTAGATAAGGAGAAGACAACTGAGATGTTGACCAAAATACATAGTTAAGACATTAAATAGTACTGTAAGGAACACATGAATGATACCTAACAGGTCTAGTGAGCACAGTGTTACTACAGATAAGGAGAAGACAACTGAGAAGGTCTTGTTTGACTAACAGTAGGCTAGGTGTTAGAGGTGATAGAAGTTGTTTAGTAGTGTGAGTAAAAAGGAGTATGAAAGTTAGAGTGTATAATAAAGAGAACTTGACAACTCTTCAGTTATGCTAGTACTTGTTACTTAGGGGACAACTGAGATGTTGATCAAAACACATGGTCAAGAAGTAAACAGTCATCCTTAGGTATACATTAGTGTTAGGAGGAGTAGAAGGACCAGGTTGATGAAATTAACACACTAGTTCTGAGGGTAATAAGAGTACAGGTAGTGTGTGGGTAAAACAGAGCATGTAGAGGTAACAGAGGGTCTGTTCATACTAGAAGGACAAAGGAGGACAGGACAGGACAGGACAGGACAGGATAGGACAGGACAGGATAGGACAGGACAGGACAGGACAGGAAAGGACTAGATAACACTAGTAGAGCATAATCCCTAGCTAGGTCTATAACTAGAAATGACACTAGTAGGGACTTAATACCCTAGCTAGGTCCAGGACTAAAGGTAATGCTAGCAGAGGCTCTAGATGTTTAGGACTAGGATTAACACTAGTAGAGGCTTAGTACTCTAACTAGGTTTATAACTAGAAAAGGAACTTTATACTCTAGGAAACAGGAAGGGAAGGGAAAAGGACTTTATACCCTTAGTAGACAGTAGACAATGACAGTAGACACTAGACAGTGACAGAGTAAGAGATAGTATAGTAAGGAATAGACAGTCTTAATGAACACTTTAATAATAGAGAGATACATGTTACAGTAGGTACAATAAGTATACAACAAATATACTGTAGTTGACAGCTCAATTGTAACATCTGTTGTACTAAAAGTAGACAGTATCTGTTAGTGTGGAATTTGCAGCTTCTGAAGAGAATTATGCTACAGTTCCAGATATTAGTAGTAGTATTAAGATAGTACTTTCTTATACAATTTCAGGACTAGTATTGTTCTTAGGATTGAGGAGCTTGAGTTTGATTGTTCTCTAGTTTGAGGTTGTAATGAGTAGTAGAGGAAGTATGAGTAGAGACAGATATAGATAATCTGCTCAAAGTGGTACAGTAAAAGTATATTCTCAAGTAGTAGAACTTTGATTGTAGACAGCTGACTAGACACACAATGATACACAACACACACAACTCTAGCACAACTACACACACTCTTCTTAATACATTCTTCTAGAATCTAGGGACTAATCTGGCAAGGGTCTGTTAGGAGAGGGTAGTACAGTAAAGGCAGATAACAATGTTCTTATAAGCTCTCAAGAGTGAATAGGATATTAAACAGAATCTTAGTATAGCAATTGTGAAGCTTGTAATTAACTAGGGTCTTACTGTAGAGTACTGTAAATGTGTAGTAGATAGTAAACATGTAGGGGGAAGCTAGAGGGAGGCTGACAATCTGGTAGTACAAGTAAAAGGTAGTAGATAAGAGGTAATCCCCAAATTTTATAATGTTTAAAAAAAAGTGTAAAGGCTGGAGCCTTACTCAAGAACACAGAACAGGCAAAGACCTAGGATTGATGAGAGGTTGACCTAAGTACAGGAGTAAGTACAAAGATAATCTCTAAGTGTCTACAAATAGCCCTTTATATACTTAACTAAAGTCATGTGTGTAACCTCAGAGATTATACTCTTCCCTACTCTGAAGAAATAAAAGGAGGGGGTAGGGAAGTAATTAATAGAGAGGCAAAGGAAAGGATATAGTAAAGGGAGGGGGAGGTAAAATGGAAGATTATAGTAAGGGGGGGGGAGGGGAAATACAAAAGGGTAAGGACAGAAGATAAGGAACACACAGTTATAAGTTTAAGAAGGCTTCAACTCATTAATAAAAACACACAGAGACAAGGATAGGGATGAGGAGTACATAATGGTTGAGATGTGAAACCACACTGCCAGGAATGCATGAATAATACTTAACAGGTCTAGTGAGTAGTAAGTACAGTATCTGTAAATAAGGAGAAGACAACTAAGATGTTAACCAAAACACATAGTTAAGACATTAAATAGTACTGTAAGGAACACATAAATGATACTCAACAGGTCTAGTAAGTACAGTGTTACTACAGATAAGGAGAAGACAACTGAGAAGGTCTTGTTTGACTAACAGTAGGCTGAGTGTTAGAGGTGATAGAAGTTGTTTAGTAGTGTGAGTAAAAAGGAGTATGAAAGTTAGAGTGTATAATAAAGAGAACTTGACAACTCTTCAGTTATACTAGTACCTGTTACTTGGGGGACAACTGAGATGTTGATTAAAACACATAGTCAAGAAGTGAACAGCCATCCTTAGGTATACATTAGTACTAGGAGGAGTAGAAGGACCAGGTTGATAAAATTGACACACTAGTTCTGAGGGTAATGAGAGTACAGGTGGTGTGTGGGTAAAACAGAGCATGTAGAGGTAACAGAGGGTCTGTTCATGCTAGAAGGACAAAGGAGGACAGGACAGGACAGGATAGGACAGGACAGGATGGGACAGGACAGGACAGGACAGGAAAGGACTAGATAACACTAGTAGAGTATAATCCCTGACTAAGTCTATAACTAGGAATGACACTAGTAGAGGCTTGATACCCTAGCTAGGTCTAGGACTGGAGGTGATGCTAGCAGAGACTCTAGATGTCCAGGACTAGGATTAACACTAGTAGGGGCTTGGTACCCTGACTAGGTCCATAACTAGAAAAGGGACTTTATACTCTAGAAAACAGGAAGGGAAGGGAAAAGGACTTTATACCCTTAGTAGACAGTAGACAATGACAGTAGACACTAGACAGTGACAGAGTAAGAGATAGTATAGTAAGGAATAGACAGTCTTAATGAACACCTTAACAATAGAGAGATACATGTTATAGTAGGTACAATAAGTATACAACAAATATACTATAGTTGACAGCTCAATTGTAACATCTGTTGTACTAAAAGTAGACAGTATCTGTCAGTGTGGAATTTGCAGCTCCTGAAGAGAATTATACTACAGTTCCAGATATTAGTAGTAGTATTAAGATAGTGCTTCCTTATACAATTTCAGGACTAGTATTGTTCTTAGGATTGAGGAGCTTGAGTTTGATTGTTCTCTAGTTTAAGGTTGTGATAAGTAGTAGGGGAAGTATGAGTAGAGACAGATATAGATAATCTGCTCAAAGTGGTACAGCAAAAGTATATTCTCAAGTAGCAGAACCTTGATTGTAGACAGCTGACCAGACACACAATGATACACAACACACACAACTCTGGCACAACCACACACACTCTTCTTAATGCATTCTCCTAGAATCTAGGGACCAATCTGGCAAGGGTCTGTTAGGAGAGGGTGGCACAGTAAAGGCAGATAACAATGTCCCTATAAGCTCTCAAGAGTAAACAGAATATTAAACAGGATCTTAGTGTGGCAATTGTGAAGCTTGTAATTAACTAGGGTCTTACTGTAGAGTACTGTAGATGTGTAGTAGATAGTAGACATGTGGGGGGAAGCCAGGGGGAGGCTGACAATCTGGTAGTACAAGTGAAAGGTAGCAGATGAGAGGTAATCCCCAAATTTTGCAATGTTCAAAAAAAAGTGTAAAGGCTGGAGCCTCACTCAAGAACACAGAACAGGCAAAGACCTGGGATTAATGAGAGGTTGGGAGCAAGTACAAAGATAATCTCTAAGTGTCTACAAATAGCCCTTTATATACTTAACTAAAGTCATGTGTGTAACCTCAGAGGTTACAGTAACCTAATTTTGTACTATTAGTAACAATTCTTATTACAATTTGAACATTCAAGTTACTGATTTTTTATCTCATGTTCTACTCATTATTTTCACATAAAATTTTTTACAGTAATAGTCAGAATTAGTAATAATATTGATATATTTTTTAAATAATGAAATTTTTAATATTCAAGTACTAATTAATTCATAAAATTTCAAAAAGGTACAATTCTTAATAGTTTTTGCAAATTTTTGTGTATATCTCTATTAACAATGGATAATTTCATTTCATAATTTTTTGCACTAATATTACACTATTTCAAGTCTTAATACATGTTTTTTACAATGAAAAAAGGTGTTGTGACTGTAAAATGACAGGGGTGGTTCAAGGAGTAGTAATGGTTCAAGGACTGGTGAATGACGGTAGGGACTGTAGGAATGACGCGTCACACAACCGAAAAGCACACCCCCTACTGTACACTCACACAACACACGTTCGTCTCTGTTTCTCATTCAACATGTCCTCCACAAGACCAAACACTCACTGTTATGTTGTCTACCTGCCCTACATTGAGAAGGGCAGGGCTCGTCCTTTTCGCGTTTCAGAGGACGCAGACGTCCAAGACCTCATACTGTACCCATCTGTATGGGTACAACCAGCTGGAGTGCGTTACCGGTGAAAATTGGAAACCAACCCATGTGTACGCGTTACAGTTGCTAACTCAGGCAACCTAGACAGATCTTGCCGGATGTTACTATACTAGATTAGCATTAGTATATAGATTCAATCTTATCTATTTTCTGAACGAAAAAGGAACATTAGACCAAATGGAGAAAATAAGGTGTCCTACTACTACCTATTTCCGAGGTTGTTCATTCTGTCTTGAAGATAAAAATACCTGGAGGCCGTAGTCAACAATACTGTACACTCGCTAATAACGTTAAGGCATTGAGTAGTACTTCTGGACTTATCCCAAGTGCTCAGGAAGAGGATATATATGCTTACAATGACGAGGGAATACTATGGGGGAAGGATGGAGTTGGTTTGCCTACAATCCAGTAATCTTTTCAAGTTTTCTTACGCTTGTAGTACTATACTTGATTACACTTGAATTGTCTTACATAATCTAATACTCGCTTAAAAAATGTAACACTCCTTAAGGGAAAGCAACTACTTCTATGCGTTACACGTTACTCCTAGCAACCAAACCACCCCTGCGTTACACGTTACGGTTGTACCCATACAGATGGGTACAGTAAATGAAATTTGTCAATACGCAGGATACAAAAATGCCTTGGACAACCAAATTGTAGACCTTTACAAGGTTTTTCTTCGACATCTCCTATTCTGTCATTGTGCTGACTGACGACTGAAATTTTTCAGTGTGGTAGTCTTGAGAGGAAGCCGCTCGAATCACTTTATGGCCGTGCCTTAGACTGGCTTCGTGGACACGCAGGTGATGGTGGAGAAAAAACGCCTTTGGATCCTGCAGACCGTCTGAACGAGTATTTCCCTGAGGGACCTACCTCGGAGCATGAGAAGATGGTAGATATTATTGCTATGGTTGGTTCAAGTACGTATTTTGTTCTCTTCCCGTCCACAAGATTTGGCCGGTTCCTCGCAAGTTTGACTAATCTGTATGTACAGCTGGGGTGTCATCTTCTGCAGAAGGCCACAGAGATG